CAGAAGGCGAATTCATCGATACTAAACATGGTAGGGTTACATATAGGCAAGATGACAGGAATGGGTTCCATCATAACCATGCATAAAATAGTCTAAAAATATCAAAGACAACACACAATGACCTGAAGGATATGTGTGTTCATTCAAAGAAAGGTTTTCCTATGAATTAATTAGTAGAAAAGTCAATTTCTACTGTGCATTGTGCCTCTTGCTATGGAACATGCAGTGATTTTCCCTGCTTCGCATTCCTTTAGGCAATAAACCCAGTGATATCAGCGTTGGTTGCCATGGAACCAGAGGTCTGTTCTGCCCTCCTGAGGTGTTACGCATTTCGGGGGAAGGGTCCATAGGTCCTCATATGGCTTGTTAACTGAGGGGTGTTACAGAGTATTTGTTAAATATAGCTAACAAAATATATATTGTGTGTTTGATTGGTCCAGACGCTACACCCGTTTCGATCCTATGTTCGACCATAGATGTGTGGCCCAAATGTCCATCAAACAAAACATTGAAGGTCTCCAGTAATTCAGCCAGCTGCCTTTTTTTGGTGATCATTTAGTCTAAAGCAGAAGATTCAACCCCCAAAAATGACACACTGTGGTCAGGTACTGCCAGATTCACACCCTCTAGCTCCTCTATGAGCATAGGTTCCTCATGAAGCACCACTGTTCTGGACGGAACATTAATTGTTACTGAAGCTCTCAGCATAAAGTCCATTCCCAAAACAAGGGGAGTAGAAAGCCCTAAAATAACAGCAAATCGATGATAGAACCGCTGGCCTATAAAGCCTAGGGTCAACCACGTCATGCCAGATGGGAGACAGGCTGCTCCATCTGCCAGCTGAATATGAGGTGCGGACCATGGTTTTGTACGTTTGTCCCCCCCAGGAATAGCTTGGTTAATAGCTCTGCCCGTACCACAGAAAGAGAAGCACCAGTGTCAAGAGTGGCATCAAGAACTTGCCCCTGAAGATTAACTTTGACTCTGAACGGAGTATTCCAGAAAGATGTAGATGTAACATCTTCCACGTGACCCAAAGTTGGCTGATTGGTCACAAATGAACATGATAAGTGAGGCATATCTATCTTCTGGAGGGAGGATTGCCTCTTCGAAACCTCCTCCCCCCCCTGAAGTTTCCCGCCTGGCCATTGTCAGAATTCAGTACGTCCTCACCGTCAATCCGGCCATGGCCACCCAACTGGCCCAAACTTAGTGCACTATTGCTGGTGTCGGCCTGTTGATTAGGTGCCCCCCCTTGAGTGCAAATCTTGCTCCACCCCAGAACTACAGTTAGAACAAGTGCGAGTGGTGTACCCTGGTAGTAAGCATTTGAAGCATTGGACGACCCTCACAGGTTTACCGCTAGACTGTGCCGGGTGTAAACTCTGTCCACTTGGGCCAAGAACTGCATGAAGCTCATGGGTGCACAAAAGAAGCTCCATGACTGATGGAATAGGCGTACCATAAAGCGCAACCCTGTACTTCTCACACGCATGCTTACATATCAAGTCTATTTGTTCCTGCTGTGGTGGAGTAGTTTTTAGTTTACAGAACTCACTCAGCATATGAGCAACAAAAGTTGGTAGTGGTTCATCAGGCATTTGCACGTGGTCCAGAATACCTCTCATTATCCGTTCTTGGTTATCTGAAGGCAGAAAAACAATTTTGAAAAATTCACAGAACTGAGCCCATGTGGTTACATGTGTACTAAGAGCATTAAACCATTTCCTTGGTTCCTTTGACAAGAAACGCGGACGTTCAAGGAGAATCTGAGCATCTGTAAGGTCCAAAGACGTTCTGTATATATTTAGCGACTGAAGCCAATCCTCGGGATTCACAACTCCATCTCCTGCAAACACAGATGGCTCAAGCTGCGATTGATGAAGCACAGAAGCGAGGACCCTTGACGTAGCATTCATGTCAACAGAGGGAAGGCAGTGTCAACACGGGTGTATCTTCATAGGTCACATTGACAGGTACTGACCTTACGTCTTGCAAAGAAGCTTGGGCCCGGTTGTATGGCGTGGAGCTAGCCAAGGGGGAAGGTTGCGTCACAACGGGAACAGAGCATTCATTTGTTCCCAAGTGCTCCAGCATGTTCTTTTGCTGGTCAAGTGAGTCGTGGAGGCACTGTTGTAGCACCGCCACTTCTGCTTGTAAAAGTTGAACTTGAGCTCTTAAGCCACCGACAGTATGCTGTGACTCTCTCTGTCTCTGCATATCATCTGTGTCTGAAGCCAGGTCAGAAAGGTCAGTTTGAAAGTCAGGGTGAGTAGCCATATCAAGTATAATAAACCAGCATAAACAATATATGGGAGACAAACAGCAAAATTCAGGAATTACTAATCAAAAAGCATCTATCAAAACACTTTTTTCCACTCACCAACTGAAGAGAAACCGAAGCAGTTCTGTAAAATATTCAGTAAAACAACATTCAATGTACTTTTTTCCCTGTAACTAAAATTATCTCCCCTAATCACACACTCAGTAATTTAACCCATTCCAATCATCTAGGAACCTTTCAATAAAGCACAAATTACTCAAACAAGTTACAATACACTTTTACCCAACCAAGTGTTCTTATTAGGGGGCGAGCTCAGCTGCAATTCTCCAGTCAACGTGAGCAAAACGTCCTGATATCAAAAAAACATTGTTCAGTTCAGCAAAAAAAAAAAAAATTTTTTTTTTAAATGTCCAGCAGTTCAATAATTGTATTTCACCGATCAATATTCCAGTCAATCCTCGATCACCGCATCCGCGAACAGCCGAAAGTCTTTAATCTCAACAGAGAATCCAGAACGAGACGACCGCATGGTCCACACGATTAGCAAGCTAGTCAGCCAATGTCCGTGCCTCGGGTGAATCACACAATGCTCAGCTCCGATAAAAGTGCAACTTGCGTGTGATCAGATTTACCGATGACAGGTGTAGATCCATATGTTCGGGCGCCACTTTGTTACGTCGACCAGAGTGTTTTAGGATTTGCCCAGATGTCAGGAATAAAAGAAGGAAAATAATGCTTATAGACGAGAGAGTTGGTGATCCCATATGTCTTTATACGTAGCTTCAAATGATCCTCGCACTCTCCACATACATGGAGGAGAGTGGGGAGAAAATTACAAGACACACTTTGGCAGAATTACAAATAAAAATAATAAAAGAATCAGGATGCTTTCTGGAGCAGAGCATAGTAGAACAGTCCGCTATATCACCAGCGCAAACGTTACCCAGGCACACCCACCTAGACAACGCATGACATCACAGGAGGTGCCTTAAAGGTACATAACAAATTAGGTGGCTGTTACAGGCTCCGGGGAGTGAACAAAGGCCTCCTGTAGCGAATTGATGCATTTTTGTAAGAAAAATATCCATATTCAAAACGTAATAATCACTTTAATCTAGCGTATACGTTCTCCCAAGGTGTGAATCCTCCTGTGCACAAGTATTTCACCCAGTCTGAACACTCTTGAGCACCTGCGGTGGATTCTGTAGAGACGAGTTGAGCGACACTCTTCAGTAGAGATCAGGGGGTTTAAGAGCTCGTCCTCCAGGAGTTAAACAGCACAGATAGGAATATTTGCCAAGAAGGGTCAGAGCAGTATACTCAAAATTATGGAGGACATTTGAAGTACTAGAATATTATACATTTGTTGAATTGAATATAGGGTGTACACTGCAAAAAATGCTTTTCTTACTTAGATTTTTTTGTGTTGTTTCCAGCCAAAATATCTAAAAATACTTGAATCAAGAAGGATTTTCTAGACAAGTAAAAATTATTGTCTTGTTTTCAGAAAAAAAACAAGTCAAATTTAAATGAATTTTTGCTTAGAACAAGTAAAATAATCTGCCAATGGGGTAAGCAAAATAATCTCATTTCAAACAGAACACAAGATTATTTTGCTTGTTTCAAGCAAAAACTTATTTAATTTTGACATGTTTTTTTCTGAAAACAAGACAATAATGTTTACTTGTCTAGAAAATCCTTCTTGATTTAAAGGGGTCCTATTATGCTCTTTTACAAAGTCTTGATTTTGTTTTGGGGGTGTACTAGAACAGGCTCTCATACTAGGTTGTTCGAAAAACACATTATTTTTCACATATTTTACATTATTACAACACCTCTCTCCCCAGTCTGGCATGAACAGCTCGAATAGTTCCTGTATCAAATGAAAACCCGCCTTCTGAAATACGAAATGTGCTGTGATTGGTTAGCTGGGCCAGTGTGTGTTGTGATTGGCAGCACTCGGCGCCTGGTCGGGAAATGTCACCATAGCCGCCTGCGAGCTTCTGTGTAATTATTGCGTCAATATCAAATCAATTTGAGTGTGATTTAAACCCGGATGATTGTAACCACTCTAAGTTCGTCTGCCTTGGGAAAGCTAGCGTGTCTCCAACATAGTGATAACACTCGTTGCCTTCTCTAGTGCAGCTCCCTCGTCTCATTCGTCGGTATCTGTGATATCACAAATCCCGGAAAATATGCGTTGTAGTCCAAACGAGTCGTTCGTTGTAGTTTTTGAAAAGTGATTTTTGTTAAATCAAATATCTCCTTTTGAAGTGGACTTTGAGCTTTGTAACTTTGCAGATCTTTTTTATGCTCAAACAAGCAACATTACAGACTAACTAAAGTTGAAAAAGTGAAAAAGCATAATAGGACCCCTTTAAGAATGTTTAGATATGTTGGCTGGAAACAAGACAAAAATCTAAGTAAGAAAATAATTTTTTGCAGTGTACTCATTTCAGCAGTCCTTCATTCAAACAAAATTGGCTAATTTACTAATTTTACAGATATTTATGACATTTTAAGGATAAGTTTAATACATTTCAATTTCTCAATCTTTGCATGAATTGTATTAGAGATCATTAAGAAAATATGTATTTTACGCCAGTTCAAGAGTATGGCAGCTCTCTTTCACCCCTGGATATTGATAGTATTTGTCATCTAACCCATGCTGTCAGTTTAGTTTCAGGCCTGATTTCAGATGTTGGTGTTTCTCCAGCAGAGTGCAGCAGAGCCAGCACATAACATCCATCCGAGGCCTGCAGGATCTCCGTCCAGCTACAGCTGCTTTCTGCCCGACCTGCTGCACAAGAGCCCCTCGCACCAGCAGAGCGTCCTCGAGGTACAGCCTCAGATCACTGCAGTGTTTGATCAGCTGTTTCTGTTTAATCATGCACACACACTTGTACAGTACTTCTGAATAATGGTGCAAATGGCATAAACCTGATTTAAATACTCTCCTCACATAAATATTGTGTCTGAAAGGGAAACTCGTACAAATGCATATGCAATAAGGTCAAAATTAACCGTCCATGCCTTTTTAGCGCTGATTTATCACTGTGCATCTTTAGCAACTCCTGACAGTAGTTTTTAATGGCAGAATAGGGTTTGTGCTGGTGAAAGCTGTTAGTAAATCTGGCCCAATGTCTTTTGTAGGGCATTTTAGACTGATGTGAGACTGTTTTAAGCCAGTTATCATTTTAATATAAGCTTAATAAAGTAAGCTAGTTCTCTGTGTATATACAGACTGTAATGTAAAGCTTATAATGTTTTAGACCAGTTATCCTAATAGTTTCAGTGAGCTCATGTTTACTGTTTAATTGTGTTATTTGTACACAAACTGTACTTGGATTAACATGTAGAACTGCATTTGCGAATGATCTCCTCATGATGTTTGTGTTGTTATTCTGCATTTACAGAAATTATTCAGTAGCCAGGCAGGAAAAAGCACATCATCTTCCTCTTCCTCATTCTCCCCTTTCATTGACCCTCGTTTGCTGCAGATCTCTCCACCTCAGAGTCCACAGGGATACATCCAACGTGAGTCAACACGCCTGACACACACACACCTGACACATGAACAACACACTCTGTGTGTGTGTGTGTGTGTGTGTGTGTGTGTGTGTGTGTGTGTGTGTGTGTATCTGTGTGCGTGTGTGTGAGTGTGTGCGCGCGTGCGAGTGAGTGAGTGAGTGAGTGAGGATTCTTGACATTTTTTGGTCCCCATGAGGAAACAAGCTAATAAATTGCACAGAAAGAAGTGTTTTGAGAATCTAAAAAAGAGGGGTTGGTTTGGGTGTGGGGTTAGATTCAGGGGATAGAAAACACAGTTGGTACAGTAGAAAAACCATTGTGCCTTTGGGAAGTCCCTGTAAGCCACATATACCAATCAGTGACACCTGCACCTGACACATGAACAGACTCTCTCTCTCTGTGTGTGTGTCAGTGAACAGCAGGGATGAGCCGTGTGTCAGGCAGCCTCACAGGAAGGGCTCGGTGGTGAACGTCAACCCCACCAACATCCGTCCTCAGAGCGACGCCCCGGAGATACGCAAATATAAGAAGAAGTTCAACACTGAAATCCTCTGTGCCAGTCTGTGGGGTGAGACACATTCACACATCACCACAGCGCAGTAAGAACACTACTGATGTTAATAAAGACCACCTGTGTAAACCAAGTGTACAACAATACAAGAAATCAAACTGCACATCCCTGTTCTGATATCTGCATTACAGCCACTGTAGAACTGGGGAAAAGACTGTAATCAAATGCACACTGTTTCATTATTACAAAACACAGCTGATTTTATGTGTATTTTATCAGCCGTTTATATAAAATTACAGAGCAAAATAATCAGAGATTAAAGTTACATTTCTTCTTGTTCTCCTTGGTGCAGCTTTATTATTACATTATTCTGTTGTCTGGTTAATTTCCAGATAAAAAGTACCTGGTTTTAGCACAGTAATGATTTTCTAAACATGCTGTTTCTTTTGTGTTTTTCTTTTGTTTAAAGGGGTGGTTGATTGCGATTTCAATTTTTTTTTTACTTTAGTTAGTGTGTATTGTTGCTGTTTGAGCATAAACAATATCTGCAAAGTTACGAAGCTGAAAGTTCAATGCAAACTGAGATTTAGTTTTTTTTAATTATGGCAGTTTAATGCCTACAAAAATGGCTCGTAGGGACTTCAACAAGCTACTTCCCGGGTTTGTGACGTAACAAACCCAAACATTTACATAAATCCCACCCCCGGGAACTATTGCAACAAATAGGGAGAGGCCATGTTGCGCTGCTTTAGAGAAGAGGAAGAGCCGTTGCCATGCCGTCAAAACTAGGGGTGCGTGCATGAAAAAAATATATTCATATATGAATTGTGATTCTGTCTTCTAACGATTCTAATGGATTCACAAGTTTCACAATCAATGTTCTAAAGCAGCGGTTCTTGTTCCTCGCGTCCCCCTTCTCTACACATGCTCTGCATCTCTCTCTCTCATTCAGATCATCAGCTCACCAGCTCAGCTCCAACAATGAATTGTTCCAATTATACACTTTATGCGTATAGACAGACAGATATTTTTCACATAGCTATGAGAATCGTTAAACATGGACGCGCACACGGTTGCCGTACTGTATTAAAGCTTTAATCACGATAAAACCGTATATTAAAGGAGACATATTATGCCCCTTTTTACAATATGTAATATAAGTCTCTGGTGTCCCCAGAATGTGTCTGTGAAGTTTCCGCTCAAAATACCCCACAGATCATTTATTATATCATTTTGAAGATGCCTATTTTGAGTGGAAGCAGAAACAAGCTGTTTTTCGGGCCTGTGTCTTTAAATACAAATGAGCTGCCCGCCCCCTTTTCCAGAATAGAGCTGCGCCTTTACAGCTCGTACCTGCTAAAAACATCTGTTTTGGTTCTGATTATCATGTTTATCGGGCTGAAATCATAAGTTTTAAACAATATTAATTTCAACTTCGGTTTTCTGAGAGCACACATCCGAAGCACACGCACAGAAAGCGGCTGTCACAGCATGTGAGTACTAAACTAAGTTCTCATTCACCCACAAGTTTACGTTAAAATCAAGATTGAGTTACAAAAACAGTCGGTTATGTCTGTGAAGGTAAACAGCTGGGAAATAAATCACATGTTTATTTTAGATCTGTGTGGCAGCTGCAATATACAGTAAATAAATCAATAAATCACTGCTCTGTTGTCTCCTCTGAGGCTGGGACTGTAAATAGTGTTCTGTGCTCGTCTGTGCAGCCAAAGACAGAACAGTTAGCATGTTTTGCTTAAACTTTCATCATTGGCATTAGAGCTGGTACACCGTTGTCGCTTGCGAAAACACGATGGCGCCGTGGGTGTAAACTTACAGATTAAGGGGCAGTAATATTATAATGAGATCCCTTTGCAACCACCATTAAGAGCTGTGTGCTGCTTGCACAGGTTATGTGCGATCCTCTTCACTAATACTCTCTGCGTAAGCAATATAGACAATGCCATTGTTTACAATACAACCGGAGCACATGCCGCTGAGGTGAGGGGCGGGACGATTAGACGCGCACTAGAGGCACAACACACTGGGCCAGCTAACCAATCAGAGCCCATCGCCTATTTCTGAGAGAGGGGCTTCATAAAACCAGGATCTCATCAGAACGTTTATCAGAGAAGAGACAGAGCGGTGTAGAATAAAGGTAAATTATGTGAAAAATATATTTAAAAAAAAATTTTTTTTTTTTTTAAAGGGGTCATATGATGCTATTTTAAAGATCATTATTTGGTGTAACAGAATATGTTGACATGCTTTAGTGTTAAAAAACACATAATTTTTCAAATACTGTACATTATTGTAGGTCCTCTATGCCCCGCCTCTCTCAAACGCGTCGTTTTCAACAAAGCCCCCTCCTTTGACAAGCGCAGTCTGCTCTGAAACTTGAAATCGCATCATATGACCCCTTTAAACAAAGCATTAACACGTTAGACTAGCCTAGAAAAAAAACAGTCAACAACCCCTTTAAAGCAGGTTGTGAATTTGAATTGGTGCAAATCATTGTCTTTGCTCACTGTGACTGTGCTCTGTGTGTGTGTGTGTGTGTGTGTGTGTGTGTGTGTGGGAGTCAATCTGCTGGTGGGCACCGAGAGCGGCCTGTGGCTGCTGGATCGCAGTGGTCAGGGTAAAGTTTACTCTCTCATCAGCCGCAGACGCTTCCAGCAGATGGACGTGCTGGAGGGGCTCAACATGCTCATCACAATATCAGGTACACACTCTACATACTGCACTTCAGCACGACTCAGAGTAGTCTTCATGATAGCACATGATAGTGGAAGAACTGACCACTAGACTAACTGAGAAAGCTGGATGAGCCATGTTGGATCAGTTATCACAATAATCTTGTGTTAATAAAACGATTGATTGCGTGAAAGTACTCTAAAGAAAGCACAATTGCAGGCTTTAAATGAATGACTTCTGAAAATAAATTGTTGTATAACTTGTAACAACAGTAACAAACCAATAAAGTAATAATAAAACAAAACTCACAATATTACTCAGCCAGCTAACCACACACACATTACAACATTACATTACATTACATGATATTGTTTCCTATCCCTTAAAGCATAACTCATATCATCACTCATTCCTTGTTCTCAAACATGATACCGCTTAGTAATCTTGCACAAGCAACAATATTGTGCACTTCTTAGTACACAATTGGGTACGGAAAGTATTCAGACCCCCTTAATTTTTTCACTCTTTGTTATATTGCAGTGTCTCTCATCTTCCTCTTGATAATACCTCATAGATTCTCTATGGGGTTCAGGTCAGGTGAGTTTTTTGCAGGCCAATCAAGCACAGTAACACCATGGTCATTGAACCAGCTTTTGGTGCTTTTGGCAGTGTGGGCAGGTGCCAAATCCTGCTGGAAAATGAAATCACGTGTGAGTGTATTGTCTGTCTGTCTGTGTGTGTGCGTGCATTTGTGTGTGTGTGTCATCTATTCATGATTTGTTGTGGAAAGGTAAGAAAAACAAGCTGAGGCTGTACTACCTGTCCTGGCTGAGGAATAAGGTTTTGCGTAATGATCCGGAGGTGGAGAAGAAACAGGGCTGGACCTCAGTGGGGGAACTGGAGGGATGTGTGAGCTACAAAGTAGGTGAGTCCAGAACAAGACAACATTCACATATGTGTTTAAAAGGGTCATATGATGCTTTTTTTAAAGATCATTATTTTGTATATTTGGTGTAACCGAATATGTTGACATGCTTTAATGTTAAAAAAACACATTATTTTTCAAATACTGTACATTATTGTAGGTCCTCTATGCCCCGCCTCTCTCAAACGCTTCATTTTCTACAAAGTCCCTCCTTCTGACAAGCGCAGTCTGCTCTGATTGGCCAGCTGACCCAGTGCATTGTGATTGGCCGAACACCGCAAGCACTCGTCGGAAATGTAACTCCCCTTACCATAATCGCGAGCTTCATCTTTCAAAATAAATGTAAAGACAGAGCCCGAAAGGGGAACAGAGTCACGTGACAGACAGTGATGAAGCTGGTATGTGTTTGTGATGTGACCCCCTCTCTCTCTCTCTCTCTCGCGCGCTCTCTCTCTCTCTCTCGCTCTCTCTCATGCTCTCTTTCTCGCTCACTCTCTCATGCTCTCTCTGTCTCTCTCTCTCTCTCTCTCTCTCTCTCTCTCATTTGAGACTTTAGTCTTTGCAACTTCAGGGAACTTATCTATGCACAATCAGCTTGTAACACTCCAAAGAGAAAGGAAAACTTGAAATCGCATCATATGACCCCTTTAATAGAGTTTGCCAACAAACATCTCAAGCAGCTTTACTGTGACATGCAAGGTAGGCCTACTATTAAAAACCTACGAAACATTTTAATTATAAAGCGTGACATGTATTATAATACACTGCATGGAAACACCTGGTGAGCTCAGTCCAGCACACTAGGAAAGCATCATCCAGTGCTGGCTGCCTGACCAACAGAAACTCTGGATCAAGCGTGGTGATTGACACACGATAAGAGCGCAGATTAAGATTTCAGTCTCATAACTGGTCACTCTTGCTCTAGTGAAAATCATGTAGGATGGAAAGATTTGAGAAATGTCTTCCTTCTGTGTCATCACCATAAGTCATGTTCTTTTACTCCACACTAACATCATGCTGATGATTTCAGTTCGCTATGAGAAAATCAAGTTCCTGGTCATCGCCCTGAGGAACGCAGTGGAAGTTTACGCCTGGGCTCCTAAACCGTATCACAAGTTCATGGCTTTTAAAGTAAGTCTTTTATATTAGTAGAGAATTTTTTTCATCTTTAGGCATATTGATTAACTGAGGAAATCTCTCAAAAGCTACCAAGTACATTTCTGGGTCATCAAGAAAGTATGAGAAGAGAAAGAAAATGATATTTAATAATTAAGCAAATTAAAGGATTTCTATTTTTAGTGTTCAAGTGTTTAAACTGCTTTTATTTTACATTTTTTTGATTGAAAGAATTATTAGGTTTTTATCAACTCACACACTATTCACTCTCTATCAGCTCACTAATGTAATGTTTAATGCATTTTATGATATTGATATCAAAAAGTGGAATATATTTTCTTTTTCTTTGCATTTTTTGGTAAGTTTAAAACATGTTTAATAAACAAGTAATCTAAAAGTACTCAGAATACATTACCTAAAATGAGTAACTTAGATTACGTTACTAACTACAGTTTTCATCATGTAATCTGTAATCAGTAACAGACTACAATTTGTAAGTCATCTACTCATTTTTTTACTATGCCAGAAAAGCCAGACGTATGAAGCTAGTTATGTGATGCAAACATCAAACTGTTAGTTTACAGATCATGCACTATGGTAAAAGTGTTTTCAGCTCATTACATAGTATTGTGCAGAAAACTTGAACAAAAATAAGTCTTCATTAATCAATAATCTGCACCTGTGATCATAATTTGTGTAAAAAGTTGTTGATATTTTACTGACACTGGTGTTTATTTCAGCAGGACTGAAGTGAAATGCATGTATGTGTGTTTTTGCAGTTTTGCAGAGTCACATACTGTATTTCCATTGAGTCTGAGTTGAAATATAACTGCGTTAACTGGTTTCTGAGATTCACTGTACAGTATGAAAACAGTTGCTTTCGACCATGGCTAAGGAGGCAGTTACAGTCATAACTACCATACTTTCTAATGTCATATTTCTAATTACCTGCTGTTTATAGGCTATTTCTAAATTCTTCCATTACAAAAAAATAGGATGGATTAATGATAGGTAATATAACTGGGGTGTTTTTAGAAATGGGTCATTTTTGAGTGCGTGTCCTACTTCACTGCGGTCCTGAGAGACTTACTCTACTTCTGACATGAACTTCTGCCGTATAGACTTTGAGAATTTACTCAGATTGTTGTCCTGCCCATTCTCTTGGAAATACAAACATTGTGTGTTAGGGCTAGGGTTGAATGACCCAATCTCATTCAAATTTGGTGCTGTTTCTTTAGAAATTTCTTCAGAAACTGGCTGCTTCAGTTCGCTGTGGCAGTGGGTATCATATTTTGTCTACTGAAGTACTCGACAGATAAATGAAATGTGCACCTGAACAGGAGTAATAGTACAGATAATTTAAAAAATCTATATCTGTGTCATTGCACATATGGGTCAGATGGACGTCTTGCATCAGCACTGTTATGAAATAGTAAAACTGCAAACTCAAAACATCAGAGCTCTCAAAGTCATTGTGTTTGATCATGATGTGAAGACTACGCAATTCTTCTGATGTTTTTGTTTGTTTGTTCTGTGTTTTGTCGTTCTTCTATAAGTTTTACCAGAGACAAACTCCTTAACATTAAGCAACACATCCCAGACAATATTTTTCCGTTTTTTGATTATGCAGACGTTTTGTTGGACATTCTAGTCAGTGGTACAGTGGTGTTGTTCAAACGCACGCTCCGACGCAGAAGAGGGAAGCATGCTGGTTAAACTCCGCGAGCGTGGCTTTCCAACTGCGCTCCCAAACATTCATCTTGCGAATGTCTGTTCCCTTCCTAGCAAAACGGGTGAACTAGTTCTTCTCCTCACCCCCATCAACAAGGACTTTTCAAACTCTGCTGCATTGTGCTTCACTGAAACCTGGCTGAGTGAAGCCATTCCGGATAACGCACTTCATCTGCCGGGCTTCCAGCTGTTCAGAGCGGATCACATTGCAGAGTTAACAGGGAAAACGAGAGGTAGTGAATCGTGTTTCTATATCAACGAAATATGGTGTTCAGATGTAACAACGCTGAATAAGATATGCTCTCTTAACATAGAGACTCTCTTCATAAACTGTAAATCTTTCTACTCGCCGCGGGAGTTTTCCTCGTTCATTCTTGTGAATGTGTGCGTTCCTCCGGACACGTGTGTGAGCGCAGTGCTGCAACAGCTGGCTGAACTAATAACTAAAACAGAGCAACAGTACTCGGACTCTCTTTTAATCATTCTTGGAGATTTTAATAAAGCAAATCTCTCCCATGAACTGCCAAAATACAGACAGCACGTTACATGTCCCACCAGAGACAGTAATATGTTGGATCACTGTTACACAGCAATAAAGGATGCTTATCGCTCTGTCCCATGGACAGCTTTGGGGCTCTCTGATCACTGCCTGGTTCATCTGTCCTACAGACAGAAACTGAAATCAGCTAAACCTGAATTAAGGACTGTTAAAAGATGGACTAATGAAGCAGAGCGGGATTTACAAGCCTGCTTCGACCTCACTGATTGGATTGTTTTTGAAGCTGCTGCCACCGATCTGGACGAGCTCACAGAGACTGTAACTTCATATATCAGTTACTGTGAAGATAATGATGATAATGATAAACCGTGGTTTACTGGGAAACTCAAACAGCTTCATCACGCCAAAGAGGATGCTTACAGAAGTGGGGATGAAATCTTGTACAACCAGACCAGAAACAGAGAGGAGATCAGAGTGGCTAAAAAAGCTACTCTAAAAAGCTGAGAAAACCGTTTTCAGCCAACGATCCGGTGTCAGTATGTACTGGTCTGAAGAATATCACCTTGTACAAGACACCACCCCTACAATATGTGGAGAATCAACAACTGGCTGACGATCTGAATGTGTTTTACTGCCAGTTTGAAAACCCCAGTCTCACACCCCCCTTCGCTCTGATCTGCACTTCACTCATTAATCTAACCCCCCTGCAACCCCCCTCCCTCCCCCACCATTTAGCCTGCGCTTAAGGTCTGTGTAGAGGATGTGAACCGGGTCTTCAGACGATAGAAGACTAGAAAAGCTTCAGGCCCTGATGGTTTTTTACCTGCCCGTTTAAAAGTCTGTGCTGACCAACTGCCCTCAATCTTCACACAGATCTTCACCAGATCACTGGAGCACAGTGAAGTTCCCTGCTGCTTCAAACGCTCCACCATTATTCCAGTCCCCAAAATCACTGGACTTAACGACTACAGACCTGTCGCTCTCACGTGGTCATGAAGTCATTCGAGCGATTAGTCCTGGCCTACTTGAAGGACATTACTCGACCCTTGCTGGATCCTCTTCAGTTCGCCTACAGAGCAAACAGGTCTGTGGATGATGCGGTCAACATGGGACTGCATTATATTCTGCAACACCTCAACTTCTTTTCTGCATTCAACACCATCATACCTAACCTTCTCTCAGACAAACTCACACAGCTCTCTGTGCCCACCTCCATCTGTCAGTGAATCACCAGCTTTCTGACAGACAGGCAGCAGCTAGTGAGGCTGAGAAACTCACATCCAAGACTATCACCATCAGCACTGGTGCCCCTCAGGGATCTGTTCTCGCCCCACTGCTCCTCTCCCTGGATACAAACGAATGCACTGCAACTGAGCACCAGAACTGCCAGGCACAAGAACAGTTTTTTTCCCGCAGGCTATATTTAGCCTGAACAATTAAATCTTTCATAACTATATATTGTCCATTATAACAGACTAATTTATATATAGCATCTGAAAATTGTACATTTGTAAACTACATGAACTGTATACTTGTAAATAACATAACTGTACATTCATTAAAACAATAGTTTTTTCTATATATTTTTTATATATCTATATAAATTTCTACTTCTGTATTATATTGCATTATATAATTTTCAGTTTTTTTATGTTAGTGTTATATTTCATCACTGTGTGTGTGTGTGTGGTTCCATTCACGAATCACAAATGAACTGCACATATCTAGAACATGTATGGGTGTGTTAGGTTAAATAATGTGGCTGACAGAAAACCTCCAGTGTCTTTACACACCACAAAGAAAAAAAATGAATAATGAATATTGAAAAAAACATAATTTTTATGATTTTTACATGACTTTTATATTCATGCTTTTTTTCCCATAACCGAGTTGTTGTGCATGTGTGTCAGTCGTTCAGCTCGCTGCCCCAGAAGCCCCTCTCAGTCGACCTGACGGTGGAGAATGGACAAAGGTTAAAGGTCATCTACGGCTCTCACTCTGGGTTTCATGCTATCGATGTGGATTCAGGGACACCCTTCGATCTTTACCTGCCCAGTCATGTGAGTATTCTTCACATTTCTGGCACACTTCACATCAATAAAACCTGCAACTCAGACAAGTTTAATAAGTGAAGTACTGCTGTTACATTGTGAATAAATCTCTACTGTCGCAAATTTGAACTGTCATCATCTGTGTGCACATTCACATTAGCATTCACTCTCTGCATGGGAAATTTTTGGGATGTGCTAGCATGCTAGATAGCGGAGTAAACCTGGCAATAATCAGCTGTAATAATATGCGTTCCAGTGTTGACTGCACTGATGGTGGGGCAATGTATATCTTCCACCTTTTATAGAAATTATAGTTTTTTTTTGTGCTATATTTTGTTGGTAGCCTGATGCAGTTTGTTTAGTCACTTTGGCACTAATTTCAGAGCATTGATGTCATTTTTCAAAACTCCCAACAAAACTCACACCGTTCACATGTGCAACACAGTGTTCACATTGTGCTTTCATATCGCTAAAGAAACCTCGACCTTGCTGAACCATTTGTTCAAAGAAATAATTTATCATCATGAAATACCATAGACACATTAATTTAGGTAAATGCATCACTGCAAGAGAGAATAATACAGACACAGTCAATCAGTGAACAAATTCAGACATTTACAGTATTAATGAAATATAATCAAATAGGTTTATTTGAATCAAATCAAAGAAAAAACTACAGTACTGTAAAACAACAAGTGCATTACAAGAGCCTGCAGACATAATGTCAGATGCGAAAACATGGTGTAGAAAGCTGGTATTTGGGACCACAGAAACAGTGCTGATGTAGTCCAGTTGGTTCATGTTCAATGGTAATTGGTGTCAGTGGATCCCATTATTCTGAAACATGATCTTCATGACACTCAATGCAACAGTTATAATTTTAAACAGTTGTTTCAGTTGATGGTTCGATCAACAACGGTGTTGATGTTGCAAAATTCATCAAATATGATAAAAGTCAATAGTGTCACTCTCCACCTAAATTCAGTTCAAGTTTTATTCTCATCTGAAATGAAGAAAAAACCTTGAGAGAAGCCAGGCTATTAAGGGGTAACATTTCAAAACTATCACATATAGATTTGTTGCACCTTTTCTCACAAGGAATCAAAATGATTTTTATTGTGGGGTTAAAGATTCACCCTTTGTTTCATGAGATTCACCCTTAAACAAAAGCATGCAACTGAAAATGCAGAGACCTGAAAAAATTGCACGCATTTCTTTTCTGCCAAACACTACAATTTAGAGCTTGTATAAATATGCACAGCATGTATAACATAATGTTGTGAGGCTATAGAGCTGCGTTTTCTCTGCTGCTGACTACCTACACTCCCACACAGCCGCGTACCCTTCACAGAGAGGAAGAGCAATGAGTGTGGTGTTCACCCACGGCTCTGCCGCCCCCTCCAGTACCGGCCCACACTCCAGTGAGCCGTCCCACATACTTACAGACTAGTTCACCCTCACAATCTGTGTGTGTGCTAGTTTCTCTGAACTGATCTTGTGTCCAGAAATAACTCTGCAGGCTTCGCTACATTCCCAGAGCATAAGCCGATTGAAATGACCTGTTATTTGACAGTTTTTTTCTAATAACAGGCAGTAGATAAATTTAGCGTGAACTAGTGGTGAGAACAGAACTGGAGGCTGGGCTGCACTAGATCATGTAGCTTTCCATATCAACATTTTCTCATCCATTCCCTCCCATTCTGTCGTTCATCCATTCCGTCACTTTTCCACATTCTCTCACACACACACGCGTTGCATTTTTTTCGTCTTCCACACAGTTGTTGTCTTTCACTTGCACACAGTCATTAGCAAACTCTTTCTTGCGCACAAGCTCTTTGTGTGGTGTAAATCTGCCTCTCCCACTTGGAAACACACGCTCTCTGTTTGTGGCGGCGTGTTTGCGTGGCTGGCGCTCATGAGAATCCCGCGGCAGAGGATAAAGATCGCTCTGCGGCTCTGGATGCCCGTGTTGATGCTCAGGATTGTGGTGGCTCTACAGAGGGACGGCAGCACAGTGTGCGTGAATTTATTTCTGAGTCAGGCAAGTACAGTGGGAGGCGTGTGATTGTGTTAATGACAGGCATGTAAGTACAAACCACTGAGAATATCTGTTCTAATGCTTTGCTGTCATGAGCTTGGGAGACATGCATGCAAAAAATGGTTAGGAAAATGTTTTATATTAGCTTAACGCATACTTCAAGTTTTGATATTAAAACCCTAAAATGTGTTTACCCTCCCCGTAACGGAATAAACAGACTTACATGGTTAGTGCATTTACGTAATTAGTGGTGTGTGATAAGGACTTCATCTTCATTTTATGAACACTAAAATAATGACGTATTTCAGTTGTTACTATTGCTCTTATTGATTTGAACAAGCCCTTAACACTAATTAGGAATGCACGATATCCGATATGCTGGTAATTTTGAAATAATTTTGGTCGATAGCCGATACCGATACGATACATGTTGTTTTGTTTGGAAAGAACACCAAGTCTTTCCTGTGCAGAGATTTTAAACTCATTATTTTTAATTATGGCATTTTATTTGTAGATTTAACATTTGTAAAGCAAAAGAGCTGTAAAAATTCTGAAAATCTGTATTTAAGTTTTCAGAATTTGTTAAAAAATATAGTACACATTAATGAATACATCTGTATATATAAAATTATTTAATTTGCAAGTGTCAGGTTTGTGATTTTTATTGATGTAAGCTATAGCTTCTGACCTTTAAATCAAAACAGGCTCATGATTTTATGACATTAGTTACTGCTTTATATATTCAGAATCACAATCCTAATGTTATTTGTGTATTTTACTTTTCATTTTATTACAAGTAGGCCAACAGCGCCCCCTAAATAAATTAAAGGCATTAAGAACCGGGGGAGGCTGCTGCTGCTGAACACACTCAAAGAGATATCATGCCTAGGGGGAGGACAGAAAGCAAAAATGCACTAAAAACCTCTCTAAACACTAAAGCAACGCTCTGGCAACCACCAAGTACAATATTCTTAACTCTAACCCTGAGGACCCATGGCTCTGCACAGTTTTGTATGTCTTCCTTATTTGATCTAGAGCACCATAGCAATTGCATGGCATTGCACTAAAAACCTCTCCGTTGCTCAGCCTTGACTTTGTTCACACAGTCAGTATTTGGGATTGACGCATTTACATATCATCATGTTTAATTATCATATCAGTTGTGCTGTAGGGTAGTCCATTAAGGAGGTCACAGATGGGTATAGGCATAGATAAGAATAATCCCAACACAGTGCCTTTTTTGATCAGATAGGGGTGCTATTTACAAATAGGTGAGGAGCAGAAAAGTATAAATAGAAATATATATATACATATATACTGTATATGTATATGTGTATATATATATATATATATATATATATATACACACAAATGCTAAACATAGTACACTCTGTTGTTATTTGTGAAGAACCAAGAAAATGTAAACAGCAGAAAAAATTATTTAGCTTTAACAACTCACAGATGCCCTCCTCTCTGCAGGAAGGCTGGGAGAGTCTGCCTTAAACTATATTCCCGGCAGAACAGGTACTGGAATAAGCCAAATCTACAATAGGGTTAAAGTTGAAAATGCGTTAAACAAATGTCTAAAGAAGAAACTAACAACAGTTTAAAAAAGATATGGTGAATGTAAAAATATTAAACTGTTTTCATACATGACACATTTGTAAAATTATAATAACACCCAGTTGGTAAAAAAAATACACAGCACAACCCAGAAGTGGACAATAGTGGCCATGCCATTTTATGAAGTGAAGTGACACGAAGGCCAAATATGATTACTCATACTTGGAATTGTCCTCTGCATTTAACCCATCCAAGGTAGTACACATACATTAGGAGCATTTAAAATGTCAGAGGAGAGTCATAACCTTTACATGGACCATAAGAGTCATTCAAACCATAAAAATACATAATAAAGGGCCAACTGTAGGTGTAATGTCCTTATTTCGTAATAAAGAAAGAAAACCATGACAAGAATCTTAGGAAACAAAAGGGCTATATATACACAGGGGTAGTAAAGCTAACTAGATATGGCTGAAAACAATATGACTAACGAGAGAGAGAACAGGAAACAGGAACTAAACAGAAGTATGAACTAAAATAATTTATAAAACAAGAGCACAGAGACCCCTACTTAGGGGTGTCATGAGTTCCTACTTATGGAACTCATGACACCCCTAAACACACAAATAAACAAGTCCAGGAGGCTGATCGAACTGAGGGGTACTAGGGAGAAGGATTGAGGGACAGGACCATGAAGTGGAAAACTTCAGTTGGACAACACGGGGTCCTGATGGAGCAAGGGACCAAGGCGGAGCTGGTGGAGATGGAGATCAAGGCTGAGCAGAAAACCACTGATCAGGAGGCCGTGGTGGAGCAGACGACCACTGGGGATCAGGAAACTATGGTGGAGCAGAAGATCCCTGGGAATCAGGAGACCACGGAGGAGTTTAAGACTACTAGGGATCAGGAGACCATGGCGGAGCAGAAAACCACTGATCAGGAGGCCGTGGTGGAGCAGACAACCACTGAGGATCAGGAAACTATGGTGGAGCAGAAGATCCCTGGGAATCAGGAGACCACGGAGGAGTTTAAGACTACTAGGGATCAGGAGACCATGGCGGAGCAGAAAACCACTGATCAGGAGGCCGTGGTGGAGCAGACAACCACTGAGGATCAGGAAACTATGGTGGAGCAGAAGATCCCTGGGGATCAGGAGACCATGGTGGAACAGTAGACCAAGGTGGAGCGGGCAGGGCTGTAGAACACAGTGGAGCTGAAGTCCACCAGGGAGCCACAGTGTATCCGGTGGAGATGGAAATCATGGCAGAGCAGAGACCGGAAACTCAGATGAATTCAGAGACAGCACTCCTAGCCGTGATAGAACAGACAATGGCAGTGACAGGGTGAGCAGCTCAGGTGGCTCCAGGGCTGGAGTGGACTCTGGGACAGTCTTCCCAGCTATGGCAGAGAGTTTGAGAGCAGATGCCACTAACTTTGAGGGAGCTGCAGCAGATGTTGTTGCCTCTGTGCCAAAGGTGTCAGACAGGGAAGTGTGTGGGGCCTGGACAGTTCGGACATTGCGATGAAAATCAGAGGTAAAAAAACGATATAAATACTGTTCAGTTTCTTCCACAGACTGATCGTTTCATGTATTTACACATCAATGTATCGTCACGAGCCGCAGGGTTTAATCTGGTTTTGTTTGTGTATGTTTTTTGACTCTCAAAGCCGTGATTCCCATCCACTTGCTTTATAAGACTGACAGACTGCAACAGTTTGACTTAAAAATCTTTGTTTGTGTTATACTGAAGAAACAAAGTCACCTACATCTTGGATGCCCTGGGGGTAAGCAGATAAACATCAAATTTTCATTTTTGGGGGAACTATCCCTTTAACCTCTAGGACCATCAGACCTGTTAACCTCCAGGACCACCAGACCTGTTAACCTCCAGGGCCACCAGACCTGTTAACCTCCAGGGCCACCAGACCTGTTGACCTCCAGGGCCACCAGACCTGTTGACCTCCAGGGCCACCAGACCTGTTGACCTCCAGGGCCACCAGACCTGTTGACCTCCAGGACCATCAGACCTGGGACCTCCGGGACCACCAGTCCTGTTAACCTCTGCGACCACCAGACCTGTTAACCTCCGGGACCACCAGACCTGTTCACCTCCGGGACCACCAGACCTGGGACCTCCGGGACCACCAGACTTGAGGCAGTGAATGCTGCCTCTGTGCCTGACAGAGATATATGCATGGCACACACAGGATGGTGGTAGCATCATCGAAAGGTCTGAGGACATTGGAAGGACCTGCGGAACCGCAAGACCTGAGACCTCCAGGATCACTGGACATGGGACCGCCGGACTACACAGAACTCTGATATTGAAATACTATGTACATTATTTATTTATCTATTTATTTTTTAAGATGCAACATCTGATTTGACTTTGTATTCAATTTCTTGTGATATGAATTGATATACTGTAGGTTTCATTTGCTTGTCTATCTTGCAGATCGTTTTTTCTTGAATAGGACACATTAATTTATAAACAATCAGTTGGTATATAAGAAAAATAAGTAGTTTGTTTCATCAGGGCTGACTCTTAGCTTGATATTACAACCTAATATATGTAGCGGTATGTTATTTATGACAATTTATTTCAGACAAAGTGCTTGTCCTTCCAATTTCCAAAGTTTGCTTCTCTAAAAATGTTGTTATATGTGCTCCTTTGTTTAAAAACTTAAAAAAAAATTAATTAAATGGACTTTAATTAAATGTAAAATGTACTTTCATGTAATGACCAGGTGACCTGCTGTATTATGTGCTGTGACCAGTAAATGTACTTAATCGCTTTATAATGGAATGTCTGTTTGTTTCAGATCCAAGGTGTGATTCGGCCGCATGCCATCATCATCCTCCCCAGCAGCAGTGGGATGGAGCTGTTGGTGTGTTACGAGGATGAGGGAGTCTATATTGACACCTGTGGCCGCATCACCAAGGAGACGGTGCTGCAGTGGGGGGAGATGCCCGCCTCTGTGGGTGAGCTCCAGCACTCCACACACACACAAAAGACAGACGTGCAGTGATTATCCATGTGTAATGCAGTATGGATGTTTTCCTCATTGTTTGACTCTCATGTGTAGCTGTCTGATTGTGTTTTGGCCGTGAGGTATATTACTCCTCTAGAGGTGCACTCGTATTAAGGAAGTTCTCGTAATGACTGATGTGCATGAGATTCTAAATGTGAAAATGCAAAACGAGTAATTTGGATGGATGAGTCATCTCACTTCCTACATAGCAGCAGATCTGTGAGGAGCTCCAGTGTTAAAGCCTGTTCACAATAAAGACGCTAAAGTTCTCCAAATCCACACCACAACTAGAACGATGCATTTATCTTCTGAGAACATAATAATATGCTGATATCATTATTGATCTTGCCTGTTGCCTTTACGAGAACATTCACTGCATCTTCATTCCATCATCAGTTTCTAGATTTCAGGACTGAAAAAAAAAAATCAGGGACAATATAGACTACTTTTTTCTAGTCTATATTGTAATTGATCCAACATGCCTTCAATGGATTCCGGTGTGAGACAGTATGTTTCTAATTTTAATAAACAAGAGACGCAGTGCTCAACATTAAAACAGTGTTTCTTAGAAGAGGCTTCAAGACAGCTTCATCTCTCAGTTGTTTCCATCTGCAAAGTGTCTAAATACGTTTTTTTTTTTGACGTATGACTACTGAACTTGGAGTAGCACATGAATGACACACTGCAGTTATAATATTTACACCTGCCTGCATTTATGAGACAGTGTAAGATTAATATTTGGATTCTCAGCACTGGTTGCTGCTGTTGTACAAGGACACAAGAAACCCTCCCTCCACTGATGAATCTCTGTTTCTCTAGACATGCACTCTATACCAGAATATGAAAGAGTATATTCTGAATAACTCTACACTGATGAAAGAGCACATCGGTCTGGGTAATGTTTCCCATCAGGCAGCAAAGCACTATGAATGAAGGAATCAAGCGAATAACCTCACGAAGCCTGGAGTTGCTTACTTTTAATCCTGAAGTTGTTGGTTAAGTCCATTTGGGCCAGATTAGTGGAGCTGGACAGCACTAGCTGGTCATCAGGATCTGCTGCTGACACACTAAAAGCAGTTTAGTTTAGGAACTTTACTGGCCACAGTGTGGAAATCTGTCAACAATAAAAGGGTTAAAAACTTGAATTTAGAGTGCAGAGAAAAGTGCCATGACTAGACAAAATAACAGCCCCTACTGTGTCTGAACTGTCATTGACCGTTATCTTGATGTTTATTGAACACTCGTGTGTACGGCCCAGTCACAGTCATGCTCAGATTCAGAAAAACTATAGGCTATAGCAACTTTCTAGAAATGTGTAGATAATTCTTCTTTCTTTCTTTTTTTTTTTAACTTTCCTACACTTCCGGGTCAAAAATGAATATCCAAAGTTACCCACAAATAATGCTTTTTCAATCAAAAACAGGTGCATGAGCTCAGTTCAATGAGGCCTCCGATCAACCAGTTCCAAAAACAAACATACAACCTCTGATAATATAGCATCATAAATCATGAATCATGTATAAATCGATTAATGATGAAGAGGATTTTTTTAAAGCTACTCGGCCAAGCTGATTACTGTTCGTATCGTTCAGATCAATATGCAGATGTGGTGTTGAAACTGGACTCATTCTTGTTCAGATTTGCTGATGTTAACAAACACAGTTTGTTCCAGATCATCTCAGCTTTACTGAACTGAATAAGCTGGCGGTGTTTATTCGTGGCTCTGGTTGATGTGATGTTGTTGTTGATCTGCAGCTTACCTTCAGTCGAATCAAGTGATGGGATGGGGAGAGAAAGCCATCGAGCTGAGGTCCGCCACGACTGGCAGTCTAGAGGGAGTCTTCATGCACAAGAAGGCTCAGAAACTCAAGTTCCTGTGTGAGAGAAACGATAAAGTGAGAAAACATCTCTGTGTGCTTGTGTAATATCACATTTAGAAATGCAGTACATTAGGGATGCATGATATTGGATTTTTGCCGATATCCGATATGCCGATATTTTTCAAATCATTTTAGCCGATAACCGATGCTGATACCGATATATATTTGCTTTTGTTTGGAAACAACGGAAAGTCTTATAAATTATAAACACAAATATTTTGGTTAGTTTTGAGCAAAAAAAAAACATTTGTTAGACCTAATAAACATTATTAAAGTATTTTTTTTAACGAGGGTACATTGAAAGCTTTGAAAATAACTATAATAAAATCAATCTTTGCTGTTTTTTTATTAGTATTATTATTTTCAGACAGATGCAGTTGAAACCTTAACATTTTATTGGTAGATTTAACATTAATAGATGGTATAAAGCAAAACAAAAAGCTGTAAAAATGTAAAACAATCTTTTAGAGCTCCTTGTATTTCAGTTTTCCAGAATCAATTCGAAAAAATATATTTCACATTAATGAATAAATCTGTATATATATATAATTATTTAATTTGCACGTGTCAGGTTTGTGATTTTTATTGATGTAAGCTATAGCTTCTGACCTTTAAACCAAAACAGACTCATGATTTTATGACATTAGTTACTGCTTTATATATTCAGAAACACAATCCTAATGTTATTTGTGTATTTTACTTTTCATTTTGTTACAAGTAGGCCAACAGCGCCCCCTAAATAAATGAAAGGCATTAGGAACCGGGGGAGGCTGCTGCTGAACGCACTAGTGCTTTATATATTCAGAAACACAATCCTAATGGTATTTCTGTTATCACTAGTGACTGTTGACTGTCGCACACCGGACACGCTATTCTGTATATGCATTCTAAAAATAAATGACATGATTCAAAACAGAGAATCTTATGTTTTAAGCCTTTATCGGCCGATTCCGATAACGTTCCGATAATATCGTGCATCCCTACAGAAAATCTCTACAGATTATTCTACCAGAACAAAGAACTATTATAAGCATCATAAGCATATAAATGGCTAAAAAGCATGACACATGAAGCATAGAAATGGAAAGCATGTGTGTGTGTGTGTGTGTGTGTGTGTGTGTGTGTCTCTGTGTGTGCAGGTGTTTTTTGCGTCGGTGCAGTCGGGTGGATGCAGTCAGATCTACTTCATGGCGTTAGGACAGAACTCTCTCTTCAGCTGGTGATCGTCTTCATTCACAGGCTGTTCCTGATAGAAGCATCCAAATGACAGAGTACACACTCCATATCGCATAACCAACCATCTGTTCATTCAAACTCTCATTTTTTCTTTTCAATTTACTGTATTCACATATAAACATCTTTAATAGAAGTTATATATATATATATATATATATATATACAAGTGATATATTAAATCATACAATATGTATATATACATATACATATTGTATGATTTAATACATGTAAAATAATTGATATATTGCGTTGTCTGACAGTGTCAGCTTTTGTCTTTATCTGTGCTTGAAACATAAACCTTGTTCTGTATTTTAATTGTATCCTTGTCAAATCTTGCAAAAAGGACTTAATATTTTGTCCCTAATTATTTTTTTGTATAATAACAACCATGGCTGGTACACGGTGAAACCAATACTAACAGCTTGCAGAGTAACTGTCAAATATTGTAACATCTTTTGGGGGAAATATGCCGACAATTCAGAATAGAAATTATTGATTACTGATGACTGAAATCGTCCGATATCTGCAGACATTCAGCTTTCATTTCACAGGCTTAAAGTAAAAATAATAATAATAATTATAACAAATGTCAGTTTATGTTTATTGTTTTTGTTTATTATAGCTCTCACTGTACTAAAACACAAACATAACTGGACACGTTATCATGATACAAGCGATCTAATTAAAGGTTATTTAGTTATTGGTTGCAGGTCTTATGCATGCAGACTAAACGATAAACGTAAATGTGTCGAGAAGAGAGTTGTGACGCAGGTGACTGTTGGCTCTCGACTTTAAATCAGGAAAATTAATGGAGCAAAGCAAAGCAGCAGGAAGTGGAGGATGATGGTATGAAAGAGTTAAAGAAAGTCGAAATGTTGGAAATCAGAGAGAAGTGTGGAGTTTGGGATCAGATGGATGGATGAAACAACGGTGCATTGAAATGTTATATTTCTGCACTCTAAACACCTGTGCTTGTAAAGATGCAATGCTTCTGAAGCACCTGCACTTCACATCACTTGTATAGACTGACTTGCTAAATACTGCTGTTATAGTTCCACACATTATTGATTTCACTCCTTTATCGACAATAAAACTAAAAATGGCACCCAAAGGGTTTTATAGGGTTGATTTTACACTAGAGAACAGACGTGAGCATTATCATTTGCAGCAAAAGACTGTCCGTCACAATGCTGTAATCCAACAGACCATCTCAGTACATGGAGAAGATGAGCGTTAAGTAGAGCTCCACACACAACAGTATCATCAGACAGCTATTATTGAATTGTATTGTGTAGTGGTTCAGGAGTGTCTTGTAATTCTTTGCTCCATTAGGAAACCATTTTGAATCTGATGCTCAGATCAGCTCTGTTGCTCATCAGTTCAATCACACTCTGCTCATAGAAAGGCTTGTTTTTTCGTTTTTTTCCCTCTATCAGGACGTGTCCGTGCCTTAATGTGCTCTGAATGCTGTCTGGCTTGTGTGTGAGACATGATGAATGTAAAACTCTGAACTTGGTTTTGTTTTAACATTAAAATGTCCTGCCATAGTCGGTTTGTGCGCTTTGGGTCAAACTTTAAAAGTCAATACTGCACATTAACAACAGAAAATTTTAATTTAATTAAAAGCTTTTTTCTTTGTAATAGTGATATTTGACTGACATTTCCTGTACTGTACATATTCTGAATACTGCGTTTTATAGACAGTTTATTATCAAGCATAATAGGAGGTTCCATGTACTCAGCAGGTATGTCAGGTTTAGACTGTAACAGCATATTGCATATACAGTGTATGTTGTGTGCCACATGAAGGAATTGAACCAAATAAATGCTTTAAGAATAGACCATTCAGTATGTCTTTGTTCATAACTGCTACATCAGCACAAACCTTCCATACAAACATAATGTACACAACATATGAAATATTACATGGTGTTCCACAAGGATCAGTTCTTGGGCCAGTTTTATTTTCCCTCCCTTTATTATCTCCCTTTGGGCAGCATAATTCAGAAATATGACGAACTGTAATGTTTATGCTGATGATATACAAATATACATTTCAGTTGAGTTCAGAGGCACTGTTGTATTAGAGAGGCTGTCTGTCTGTCTGTCCAGCATTGTAAAGTGGATGAACACAATTTTTTTTTTTAATTGAGCGAAGATAAAACTGAAATTCTTATTGTGGGCCCAAAACACGACTTGGGTCAAAATCACTATAAAGTGCCTTTGGTGTCCTCATCAGAATCACTCAGTCATTATGAACATAATACAATATAATGATATTCTGAAATTATATGATAAATGACCAAACATTTGCACACATATAACTACAACTACAGTCTCTTGAAATTTATTTTTCTCATTTTATACCAATTTCTTTGATTGGATGTGTGTGATTTTGGCATGTCCCTCACGCAGCTCAGCTAACTTCAATGAGTGTAAAAAGTGGATAAATAACAAAATATTTAAATATTTTTTAAATATTCTTATTGCCCTCAGCCAGTTGTTAACAAAACAAGTCAGATTGTTCATTTATATTCTATTTTCATAATAATATTAAGCATTTTGCATGTGTCAATGAAATTGCTGTCCACCCTGTCATGATGTTGTAAATGCCCCTTTAAGAAACACTCTGATCTACTCAGTGAAATCTCCACCCCCATTTTGCCTTTCTTCAGTGGAGGTTAAAACATTTGCTGCAAGTACACTAAGTATCTACACTTATATTTCCTCATTTTCATCATATTGTGTTTGTAGTTGCATGTTGCCAAGCTTAACATGTCCACCCTGTCATAGTAAAATATTAATTTACATAAAAGTTTTTCAGAAATTCAAAATATATATTTTAACCAGCTTCAACAATGAACCACTTTGCTGACTGAAGGTACACCATGTGTTTATTAAATGCTAACGTTAACCAAAAATGTCCACCCTGTCACCAAGCCTTCCATGACAGGGTGGACATGGTACACGACAGGGGGGGACATGTACATAGTTTTTGCCAAATTCTGATAATGTTTTAACAAAATTATTGATTTAACATGTTCAAATGGTGTGATTAATTATGGGGAAACCATGTTGAATTGATAAATGCATTTAATGCACCCCAGCCCAGAACTGTATGCTATCTTACATTGCATGCAGTTGCTTAGTGATGAACAACAACTCACTGTGACATAGCCTATTACAATGCAGTTAGAATGTGCCTAACATTCAAGATAAGTGGGCAAAAAATGCCCAAAGCAAAAGTGCCATTTTCCTGAATATCTGCTAGATTGCAAATGTGATATTGACTTTATACAGTTTAATAAACAAAAAAATATATAATAATAGTAACATTTTAAACCCAATACTGTCAATATTGTCTGTTTTTGTTCTATTTCTACAAATAGTTCCAAAAAATCTACTGAAACTGTTGTGCATCTCTGAGCAACACAAAGTGGTGTTTCGTTACTGAATAAATCTGTGTTTTTAACAAATCTAGTGAGTGGCTTTAGTTTTATATTTAGAGTATCGTTTCATTTTTTATTACTTTCATAGTTTAATATTACATTTTTAAAAACCCCATTAATACCCATTTAAAACCCATTAATCTCATAGCATTATTTATGCATTTCTAAGTGCAGTGTATAGTCTGTGGAAATTAATATTATATATATATATATATATAATGATTTCATTTGATTTTGGGACAGCCCCATAGTGTCTTACTATTCTAATTTAAATTATTGATTAAAATGTAAGAATTTGACCAAATATCATGCATACATCTAATAAGGTAAGAAAAAATGGCCTTAAAAATGTAAAAATGCCTTTTTAAATTAATTTACAATTGCAGTGTAGAATATATATTTCTGAAATAATTCTTTATATTACTTAAGGGTTTCTTGTTGTTCCTGTTGTTTATCTGATGTCCTCTTCAATGCATTGGTCCACCCTGTCATGCCAAGGTCCACCCTGTCATCTTCATCTTTTATGAAAATAAACTAATTACTTAAACAAGTTAGAAAAACCTTTTGTGTGATTTATTTTTAAAGAAATGAGGGCCAGTTAGTATTCATTGAAAGTTTGACCAGATATCTTTGTGGTTTGATTTTATTTAGAAAAGAAAGTGCAACTTTCGCATATTTGATATGGATACAAATATGTTGCAGTAATTTCAATTTTTCAAAAGACTTTTCCTAGTAAAATGTATTGTTGAGAAAGGGACAAATTATCTTTCTGAAAATCTACATTTTATAATCATTATGTAATGAAAATGTATATACTCTACATTGGACAGCGTGAGGAGATCCCTCAGCAGGATCAACGCACGCAAAGCTCCGGGTCCTGACAACATTCCTGGGCGTGTACTGAGAGACTGTGCAGTGGAACTCACCGATGTCTTCACAGACATTTTCGCTAAGTCAGGCTGTCAGGCTGTTGTCCCCACATGCTTCAAAGCTACCACCATCATTCCAGTCCCGAAGAAGTCGTCTCCATCCTGCTTCAATGACTACCGTCCAATTGCACTTACCCCCATCCTCATGAAGTGCTTTGAACGGCTAGTCATGCACCACATCAAGTCTGCCCTCCCCCCCTCCTTGGACCCCTTCCAGTTTGCATATCGGTCCAAACGCTCGACCGATGACGCCATCGCCACTACCCTCCACTCAGCACTCACACACCTGGACAAAAAAGACTCATACGTCAGAATGCTGTTCATAGACTTCAGTTCAGCATTCAACACAATCATCCCTCAACAGCTCATTCACAAACTGGTCCAGCTGGGGCTCAACACTTCGCTGTGCAACTGGCTGTTGGACTTCCTGACTGGAAGACCTCAGGCAGTACGGGTCGGCAGCAACACATCCAGCAACATCACACTGAACACTGGGGCCCCCCAAGGATGTGCTCTGAGCCCCCTCCTCTTCACTCTGCTGACCCACTAACAGCCTACAGTCTCCTTAATACAACAAATATGAAGTTTAATAAAAAATCTCATTTTTATTTTGGAAATTGAGAAGTCTCAAAGGCACTTTATTGTGATATTGACCCACTTGTGATAAACTTTTTTTTGACTTATGTTGTGCGTTTTAATAGACCGGTGACGACTGCACAGAGTAGCATTATAACAGAACTTTCAAATGTAT